AGCGACGGGCTGGGCCCTGGGCGGCCGGCGGCCGCGGCGCCGTTCGCTCCATCCAGACCCGGCGGGGTTGCGGGAGCGGGGGGCGCGGGGTTGCGGGGGTGTGTGGGGTGCGTGTTCCTCGCCCGGTGCCGTCTCCGTGCCCTGCCAGCGCTCGGGAGTACGCGCTTCCCCACCAAACTCCCGTGATGGCTTTGAAACTCCTCGCAGGGGAAGAGAGAGCGCTGATGCGCTGGCAGGGCAAGGGAGGCTCGAGCATCACAAAGTTTTGCAGCCTTAAAAATAGACCTCTTCTCTTTTTCTTTTTCCTTTTTTTTGTCTAACTCCCTGGCCCTGCAGGCTTTAGCTGAAAGCAGTAATGCTTTTGACTAATTTTAACTCAAGCATTACGGTTATACAGAAGGAGGACACAAATTACTACTAATGTCTGCATGTTTTTTGCAAAGCGAGAGGACACAGCTCTCTTACCACGTCCTCTAACCTCCAGGCTCTGTAATTGCAGGCAAAACAAGCTCTCAGCTTCTGTTGCCCCAGTTTTGAACCAGCGGTAACGCTGTTGACCCAACGCTGTAAAACACTCAAGATCTACTCAAAGGCCACTTGCCAAATTAGAAAGTTGGGCTGAGCACTGGATTCCCACAGACAACAGTCAATCAGTGCTTCTCTCTTCATCCCCAGAATACGTTACTTTAAGAAAAAGAGGACAGCTCAAGGAGGAGCCACTGAGAATGACAAAGCAAGCCTGGGCGTGCGCACATGCTGGGCTTCATTCTGCCCTCATTTAGGGCACAGTAAACCAAGAGAATGAATTCATTGCAGTGAAGGAAGCTGGAATGAAATAAGAACGGGAGCAGTGCCATGCAGGCCCAGCTGATCTATCACCATGCAATTACACAGCTCTTTAAAGTCCCTGTTGGATGGTCAGGAGAGGGGCAATAGAAATGAGACCACAGCTGAGACCCTAATATACTCACACCTCCTTGCAAGGTCACACCAGTGTCTGCAGTTACCAGTTGGAAAGATAACCTCAGCTCCTGAGCCCTGTGCCAGGAGGGACTGTAACCCCTGCCACCGGGGAGACAGGCAGTGCTAGGGGAGAGCTGGTGGCTGCTGGCTGGAAACGGCTCTGCAGATGCAGGTTGTACTTCATCGCATCTGGTGCTGCAATTTTGGCCCCCTTGGCGAGTGTGCAAAGAACTAGGATCGGCCTTACACGCAGAGATGGGCTGAGAGACCCCAGGGACAAAGGGGCTGGCGGAGTCCAAGTGGAGAAGAGGGACTGGGGCGTGTAAATACATTTTGATATCCACTTACAGGCATTACCCTTGTAATGGAGATGCACTACAAAGTGAAACCTCCTCTTATTTTTGTTTCTGAAGAGGCTTCCAACAACCTCAGAGGGGAATAAACACATAGGGGGGTTTGTCAGCATTAGAAGAGACCAGAGTGGTTTTCTGAGCGTCCACTACAGCAAAGGGACATCTGGTGCTGCTGTCCTTGAACCTCTCAAGGGAACAGGGTGAGTTCCAGAGACTAAGGGCATAACCAGCCTGTGCAGTGAGAGCCCCCTACCAGTAGCTTTTCAGGAGGTGGAAAGTGCACTCAGACAGTAGGGGAGTTTTTCACTATTTGTATCTCCTAGTTCTGAAACACCAGAAAGTTTGGACCAAGGCTCTCAGAGAAGCTAAGGAAAATAATCACTCCTTTAGCCCAACTTCCCTGCACTCAACAGAAGAAATAAAAACACTGCCAAGTGACCAAACCTTACCCATAGTTGGGCATTCCTTTAAAAGAAAATACAATAAAACATCCCAGTTGAAACTCAGACACTGACCTGTTGAGTCCTGCTGACTGCTGTCTGTGTTTCATACCCGGAGGGCAGGGCTGGGGCCATCTGTGATCACATCAGATATGCAAGGCTGGTCTTCCAACAGGCCGAGGTGAACATGCTGTTCAGATCTGTGGGGCTAGATGAGATAAGGGGAAACATACCATGAAGATTTTATAGGAATCCTGCTTAGTCTCAGCTGCAAATATGATTGGCTCCAATGCTAAACCACCCTTTTTAGAAGGACAAACACATTTTCAAGTGGCAGAGGTACCTTATGGCTTGAGCTGCAGGGAAGTTAGGGCTTTGTTGTTGCCTATATCTGTCTGTTTGAGAAACCTCCCTGGTCCCACATGCTGATGGTTCGTACCATCCCTCTTCCCCTGCAACACCTGCATTATTTCAATGCTATTTCTAAGGGAATCATCTGACTCCCTCTGCATTGGAGAAGTCCCTCTTTCTCTCCCCAAGCCCCACTGGTGACTGGAGAACAACTGATGCACGAGGCACACATGAAAATACGACTGTTCAGCAGCACCTGTGAAATGAGTACAGCTTTTCTGTGGGTGAGCCCTGAGCATGGCTCTCTCCATCTGCTGCTTTGTGAAGTTTGTTGGAAGTACTGAGAAATGAGTATTTACTAGAAAAATGGCAATGGCTCCTTCCCTGCCAGGCTGTGAACTCCCTGTGGAAGGGCCACCCTGCTCCCTGTCTGCACAGCGCCTCGCACCGTGGGGTTCAGACCATGGTTAGAGCTATTTATGACTGCAAAGGCAATATTGATAACCAAGAATAATGGTCAAAAGGTACTAATAACATGGCATGCAGGAAAATTACTTGTTACTGTCGAGGCCTGGGACTGCATCTGGCTTGTAGGCGAAGAGGGAGTGCTTTTAGCCTGCAGAAAGATGCTGTGCCTTTGATGCAGTGCATGCTTGATTCCCTCCCTGCTCATTAGCAGTGCTCGTTACTGTCTTCTCAGCAGGTTTCTCCCAAACGCCTTGCTGTTTCCCAGGACCTTGGTGCCACTGAGTGAGATTAACCCCAAGCTTTGGTCTGATGACCATGTTGAATGGAAATTAGACATCAACTAGTTTCAGCTGGAAACTGAGGAATCCGTTGAACTCCTCCCCAGGTCCTGGTTTTCCTGCTACTGTGAAAAGGAGCCCGTCTAGGGGATATTTTGATTTTGCACCCAGTTATTTAAGCCTGGAGCCTGAATGCCACGGCAATAGTTCACCCTGGCCTCATGCTGGTGAGACCTCCATCTGCTGGTGGCCTTACACCAGTGCACACTATGTTTGCAACCAGAGCCCCCAGATTTTACCAAGCCAGCAAGGGATGGGGAGGTATGTAGGGAATTACACAGGCTTTCTTCAGAGACCAGTAACTGGGGAGATACTCGCAGAGACGATCATGGGTAAAGTCCTCTCTGTTTTCTAAGAACTGCGTTAGACATATTCCTGCCTCCAGGATTTCTGTGGGCCTCAGTGTATACTCAAAGCTTTGTTTTAAATTTTATGGCATCACTGTAATGTGCCAGCTGAGAGGGACCTTGCAATGCCCCAGCTCATCCCCTACATGAGCAGATGTGTGTGCAGCTTGTTCTGAAAGTTTCCCCAAGAAGGACACCTTATGATCTTCCCAAGCAGTCCCTTCCAGTTCTGCAAACCCTCAGAAATTTTCCTGTCACCTTATCTGAACCATCTTTATCGTAACTGGGACCCATGACATGACATTTTGCCCTGAAAGACAAGCAGGGTGCCCGGTTCTGCCACTTTTTTGTGTTAACTGGGAAAGGTCAGTTCTGCTAATATTACCAAGCTGGGATACTTGCTTTCTCAAGCAGTGCATTGATTTTCCACCATCTTCTATAGTCCTTTTCACCTGCACAGTGAAATATTATTTCACCAAAACACTAGTGTTTATGCCCACTTTGCACTAATACACAACAGCCACAGTTCAAAGCAGCAAAGAATCCCACTGGATGGACTTTTCACCATTAAGCGCTGTAGTAAATAATTGTAGGTTAAGTATATAAGAGAAACAGCTTGGATAAGAGGTAGAATTTACATTAAATAACTCTGAAGAAGTAACTAAAGAGTTAAAAGTACAAGTAATAAAATACAAGGCCTGGTGAATCTTTTTAATTGGTGGCCAGATTTTGCCACTTGTTTGTACAAAGTAGCA